TGGAGAAGTCGTAGCGACACAACTTAAATTTTAAGATTTAAATTTGGAAATTCGGGTCGTTACAAAAACACAGTTTATATGACGTGAATATAGCATTAAATATTTGGTTAACAAGGAAGGAAAAGTTTTTAATTTACGTGTAATATTATTTTGTTGAAAATTGTATAATTAAAAATGAATATCGAAAGAACGCATTTTTTTAGGAATGTGAATCAAATATGGCGTTAATTTTGTATTTTTTTACTTCACAAAGTAAATAAAAAACTTATTTACTTCTCGTATTCTAAAATAAGCAAAAATAAATAAATACATATTCAAAATTGTGAGTAAATATTTGTCATTCTTTTTCAGCCTCTATTTGATGGTATAATATTTTGAATAGTGATTTTTAGGAGAATTTGTAGAAAAAATTTTTAAATTTATGTATGCAAAATATTTTATTATGTGAATGCATTGTTAAAAATGAGTATGTAAAAAATTCAAATAATATTTGTCAAACAGGGAGCGCTAACCTAATTTTTAAAGAAAAAAATTGCATTTGGACAAAATTTAGTAATTAATAAAATGTGAAAGACTAAAAATGCGATTAACATTTAGGAGCACAAATTGTGATATCGGATAAGAGCTCCAAACCAAATGAACCCCTCACTAACCAACAATGTTTAGTTTTCTTCATCTCCTGCTTGGTTTTTGCTAAAAATTAATGGCCGGTTCTTTTTACCATTTTCAAATCGTTTTCTATTTTCGATTTTTCAAAACAATGAAAATACGTTCTCTTTCCTATTTTCGAAAACGCGTTTTTGAAAATAAGTTAAAAATTTACAAAGAAAACTCAAAACGCAATTTGTCGTTTTGGGTGTTTTCCATTATAATCAAGTCAAATTTTTCAAAACGCATTTTGGGTATTTTCAAAACAATTTTTCAAAATATCAAAAAGGACACATTTTCAATAATTTCAGAATGGACACTCAAAACACAAAGATAACGAAAATTTTTAATAGATTTTGATAAAAGTTAATTAAATACGTAATTAAAAAGCTGATAAAAGTTATGAATTCCATAAAATATGTGGTTAGAAATTATTTCTTGAAATTGACTTAATTATTATTATTTTTTTTTAAACCAAACAATGGTTTAGTAAGTAATAACTAGAAATATGGTTTACAATGATGAAATTCTAAGTATCTAGTCGAATCACACGTTTCATAAAATTCATAATTTTTAAACCACACATTTCATTTACTTTTATCAAAATTTAGCCTCTGCTTATTTCTCATTTTTCATTCATAAA